CATGAAGGTTGGGGGAAAACTAAGACAAGAGAGGATAAATAATGAACACTGCATTTAAATAGATGAGGAAAAGAACTGTCTAAAAGAAATATTTGATTAGGTATTATTTATATGACAACAGAATAAAAGGTGCATAGCAAACTGGACTAGGGGGTGGGGGGGGAGAGGAAACTGTTCAACAGTGAAATAATCTTTTTAAAGAGAAAAGTGAACTGGGAGGGCAGATAGGAAGGAAAATGTACAAGAATAAACAAATGAAAAGCCAAGTTTTCTGTAAACTTTTGTTAAAATATCAATGAAATAAAATAATAATAACAACAGAAGTCTTCTGTATCCTGACTGTGGTGGAAGTCACCCAAGTTCACACACTGACATAATGGATTATGCAAAGATTGTATTCTTGGAAATGCTATCAGGTAGTTCTAATTTGTCCTGAAGGGTGCCCAAAATTAAAATTTAATACACAATAATAAGGGAATACACACATGAACATACATACAAATATAGATATATAAACCCAATGAAATGATAATGAAGTATATTGTTTAATACTATTAGTTTCATATAATGATACTATACTATAAAGTATTCGATTGTGTAGATCGCAACAGATTGTGGCTGACCTTGAGAAGAACAGGAATCCCAGAACACTTGAGTGTGCTCATGCAAAACCTATACTTGGACCAGGAGGCAGTCATCAATACAGCACAAGGAAACACTGCATATTTCAAAATCAGGAAAAGTGTGTGTCAGGGATGTATCCTGTCTCCATATCTTTTCAATTTTTATGCAGGACAGATCATTCGGGAGGCTGGGCTTTATGAGGAGTGTGGCATCAGAATTGGAGGAAGACTCATCAACAACCTGCGTATGCAGATGACACACTTTGCTGGCCCAAACTGAGGAGGACCCGAAGCACTTGCTGCAGAAGGTCAAGGTCTACAGCCTTCAATATGGATTGAAGCTCAACATCAAGAAGAGAAAGATTCTCATCAGTGAGCCAAAATTGGCAACACCATGATAGATAGAGAAAAGAATGAGGTTGTTAACAATTACAGCTTGCTAGGTTCCACAATCAACACTACTGGCACCAGCAAACGGGAAATCAAAAGATTAATTGCACTGGAGCTGCTGTCAGGGACCTCTCTAAAGTATGAAGAGCAACAATGTTAATTTGGAGGCTAAGGTGTGCCTGATTCAGGCCATGATCTTTGCAATTACTTGCTATGCATCAGAGAGCTGGATAATGACTACAGTTGATAGAAGAAGAATCGATACCTTTCAGTTGTGGTGCTGGAGGTGTGGTATTGAATATACCATGGACTATATTGAGCATACCATGGACTGCCAAGAGAACAAACAGGTTACCCTGGAGAGGGTGAAACCAGGCTGCTCCTCATAGGCAAGGATTTTAAAGCCCCATCTCACATACTTTGGACAAGCGGACAGGAGGGACCAGTCCCTGGAAAAAGACATCATGCTTGTACGGGTGGAAGGACACCACAGGAGAGGAAGACCCTGGATGAGATGGACTGACACAATAACTGGGATAATTGAGGTAGGTGTGTCAGAGACAGTGAGACTGGTTCAGGATAGGGCAAATTTCAGAGTTATTGTACAAAGGGTTGCTATGAATCACAGGTGACTCAATGGCACATAACAACAACAACAACCAGAGTTATGCAATTATTGCCACTGGGATAACTGAATAAGGAATATATGGAATCTCTTTATTATTTATTATAAGTGTATACAAACAATTATTTTAAAAGTAATAATTTTAACATAATCACAACTAAATACCTTATGGAGAAAGGCAATAAAAGCTAACTGCATTATCAAAACCACTATGAGATACCATCTCACCCCAGTAAGAATAGCAAAATTCAGCAGAGCAGCAAACAAAAAATGCTGGTGAGGTTGTGGAGAAATTGGAATTCTTATTCACTGTTGGTGGGAGTGTAAAATGGTATAATCACTATGGAAGGCAATATGGCACTTTCTCAAAAAGTTGGCAATAGAAATACCATTTGACCCAATAATTCCATTACTGGGAATATACCCTAAAAAAACCAGACTGCCGCCCAAGTAGATATACACACACTCATGTTTATTGCTGCTTTGTTCACAATAGCAAAGAGTTGGAAACCACCCAAGTACCCATCAACAAATGAATGGATAGAGAAGCTGTGGTATATTCACACAATGGAATATGCAGGATTGAAAAACAAGGAATTCATGAAATATTATACAAAATGGGTGACCATTGAGGACATTATGCTGAGTAAAACATCTCAGTCACAAAAAGACAAATACTGTATAATGCTGCTGTAACAAAACGGGACTGACATGGGGGTTGGGGGAAAATTAAAAAAAGAGAGGATAAAGAATGTACACAGCATTGAAGCAGTTGAGGGAGAGAACTATATAAAAAAGAATATATGATTAAGTATTATTGGCATGACAAAGAGTCCAGAATAAGAGATGTATAGTAAGTGGACTGGGTGTGTGTGTCTGTGTAACAATGAAAGAATTTTTTCCAAAGAAAAAAGCGAACTGGGGGGACAAGTGGAGCAGGGAGGAAAATGTGCAACAATGAATGAGTGGAAATCCAAGTTCTCTATAAACTTTCATTAAAATTACAACAAATAAAAAATTAAGGTACAAGAAAAAGTTAACTTTTTATGGATTAAAAATTAACTAATATTTTACTTTATATTTTTTAAACTTTTTGGGCCAAGAAATGTGGAAGACATCCACTTGGTCAACTGACTAGAAGATATCTGTGCCCATTCCCAAAAAAAGGTGAGCCAATAGAATGTGGGAATTATCAAACAATAATCGGGATGGCTGTATCAGAGACAGTGTGATCTGCACAGGACAGAGTTTAGGGCTGCTGTACATAGGGTTGCTATGAGTTGCAAGCGACTCAACAGCACATAACAACAACAACATTAATATCACATTAAATAAATTCTCGCTAAAGATTATTTTAAAATAGCTGGAATAGTATGTCATCATGGAACTGCCAGAAATCCAGTTTGAATTCAGAAGAGTCCATGACATAAGGAGTATCACTGTTGATGTTAGAATATATCTTTACTGAAAGCAAAGAATTCCAGAAAGACATTTACTTGTGTTTTATTGAATAAATAAATACATTTGACTGTGTGAATCATAACAAATTATGGATGACACTGAAGAGAATGGGAATCCCAGAACACTCAGGTGTGCTTCTATAAAGCCTGCACATAGACCAAGGGAGCTCTGGTGGCCTAGTGGTAAGGAGCTGCACTGCCAACCCAAAGGCACATGATTCAAATCCACCAGCTTCTCCTCAACAGAAAGACAGAAAATATCCTCCCTTATAATTTACTGCCTCTGAGGACCCACTGAACTGTGTCAGTTCCAAATCAACAGTATATAACAATATGCATAGACCAAGAAACAGGTGTCCAAAGAGAACAAGGGAACTATATGACTTAAAATCAGGAAAACTGTGCATTAGGGTCAAACTCTTTCTCCACATATATTCAATTTGTATGCAGGGCAAATCATTCAAGAAGCTGGACTATATGAAGAAAAATATGGCATTAGAAGAAAGATTCATCAACAACCTGTTTTATGGAGATGACACAATTTTGCTTGCAGAAAGTGAAAAAGACTTGATGCAATTACTGAAGATCGAAGACTATTGCCTTCAGCATTGATTCTCTCTCAAGATCAAGAAAAGAAAAAAAGTTTTCACCACTGGGGCAATAGGCAAATGTAATGATTGATTAAAGCTGTCAACAATTTTCCTTGGATCCAGGGTTAACGTGGTGGCAGCAGTCAAGAAATCAAAAGACACATCACACTGAAAAATTTCCTCTCACAGGCCTTTATAAAGTGCTTAACAGCAACAATCTCAGTTCAAAGACCAAGATGTGCCTGTTCCAAGCCATGGTATTGTCAATTGCTTCCCATGCATTTGAAAGATAGACAATGAACAAGGAACACTGAAGAATTGATGTCTTTGAATAGTGGTGTTGGAGTACTGAACAGGGCTGAATATCCCATGGTCTGCCAAAAGAACAATAAATGTGTTTTGGAGGAAGTACAACCAGGCTGCTACTTAGAGAGGCAAGGATGGTAAAGCATTGTCTCACACAGTTTGGGCAGTTCCTAGAAAAAGACATTATGCTCAGGAAGTTGGAGGGCCAGGGATAGAGAGGAAGATCCTCAAAAAGATGACTAATACAGTGACTATAACAGTGGGTTCAAGAGTGTTGGAAATCATAAGGATAGGAGATGGTTCCAATCTGTTGTTCATAGGGTCACTATGAGTAGCAGTGGACGTGAAGACACATAACAACAACAACAGCACACTTGTAATATATGATGTCTCACTTTGACTTGGACTCACTAACTCACTTGTTTAAACACAAGATGAAGTCTGAAGTGGAGGTGATGTTGGGATAAAAGGAAGGAGGGCCCGTGTTCAGAACAGGGCACATACCTTGATAAATCAAAGCACAATTCCTGGCAGAATGGTGTGATGTCATTAATGGAAGAGGGTAAAGGACCTGGAATCTTGGCAACCATTGAACCTCACACCACTGGAGACCACACTCTCGGTAAGTGAAGCCCAACTCCTGAGTGTCCGGGCCTTGAGGCCACAATGAGGGGCTCACTCACAGTGAGGTCACTCACTTACTTACTGGATGGTCTCGGATTTTTAACTGTTTCCCAGGGAACAGGGGAAGATCACTTGGGAGTCTCCTAATGGGAGATTGGGCATGAAAGAGGAACCAAAAGTGGAGGGGAATGGAGAGTAGGAAGGGATGTGGAGATAGGGAGATGACTGTGGAAATGGAAGAGAGAGAGAGAGAGAGAGCAAGCAAACTCTGACAGAGAACTCAGTCAGCTACAGAGCAATAAATGCTTCAAGTCTGCAGGGAGTCACTGAAACCAAGTCCTGTCCAGTCAGAAAGACTTCAAGCATGGCCTACGCACCATCTAAATAAGGGTTAAGGACCCTTTCAGACAGACATCGGCCACTCCAGTCCTATTTTTTCCAAGCTTGACTCCCCACAACCCCTGGGTGATACAAATGGTAATATAGTCAGCTATTAACTGAAAAATTAGTTGTTTGAGTGTATCCAGAGATACCTGGAAAAGTCATAGCCACTGAGAATAAGAGTAGCAACTGAATTAGTGGATCTTAACAAATTATAGATAATAATAAGATGGAAATCCCAGAACAGTTTACTGTGCTCATGCAAAACCTATACATAGACCAAGAAGCATTTGTCCAAACAAAGCAAGGATACAAGGATGGTTTAAAATCAGGAAAGGTGTACAGCAGAGTTGTATCCTTTCCCCATGCCCATTCAATCTGTACACTGAACAAGTAATTTGAAAAGCTGGACTACACGGAAAGTGTGTGGCATGAAATTGAAGATTCATCAGTAACTTATATTATGCAGATGATATAACCCTTTTGCAGAAAATGAAGAAGACTTGAAACAATTACTAAAGATCTAAATGCTATAGACTCAATATGGATAATTTCTCAACATCAAGACAACAAAAATCCTACCCAGTAGACCAGTAGGCAACATCATGCTACATGGAGAAAAGATTTCGTTTTACTTGGGTCCACAAACATTCATGATGTTAAAATGGTTATTAGGCATCATCAAGTCTACTACAACTCATAGCTATCCCATGAATAACAGATCTGAACCTTGCCCTATCCTGCGATTTCCTCATGTAAGATCATCCTAATGATCTCTGATATGCTTGAGCCCATACTAGTAAAAGTCAAGAAATCAAAACACATGTTGCATTAGAAAAATCTTCCGTCAAAACCTCTCCTAAGTATATAGAGCAAGGAAATCATCTTAAAAATTAAGATGTGCCTTATCCAAGCCATAGTATTTTCAATTGCTTACTAAATGTAGGACAATGAATAAGGAAAACCAAACGGGAATGGATACTTTTAAAATGTGGTGTTGGAGAAGTGTGTTAAATATCCCTATGGGCAGTCAAATGAACAAATAGATCTTAGTTGGAAGAAGAGCAGACAGTGTGTCCCTTAGAGGCAAGGATGGTAAAACTTCAACACATACAGTTGGAGCATGTTGTAAGGAGGGGCCAGTCCTTGGGAAAAGACATCATGCCGGCAAAGGTGGAGGGTGAGACAAAGAGGAAGACCCTCAAGGAGATGGATGGACACAGTGACTATTACAACCAACTCAGTTGTGGCCGAGATCTTGACGGTGGTGCAGGATAGGGAGTGTTCGAATCTGTTCTTCATACATTTGCTATGAGTCAAAGTCAAATTGAAGGCACTTCTGACAACAGAGTAAGTATGTTATCTCCTTCAAATTATCCCCAAAGTGACATTTGGTCTGACTGCTGCTGCTGCTGCTGCTGCTATATCCATCCCCTTCTTGGGTGCTCATCAAACACATACTTTAATACTGAATCCAAAATGCTTTTTCACAGACAAGGGACAACTCCAAGGTTAATTAATTAATCCACCAGTATCTTCATTTCTTCATCTATAAAGCTATGCTAACTGTAAGGATTAAATGGCACGATTTTTAGTTCATACATCAATATATGGAATTTAGTAAGGAATCAGTAGCTGTTAACTACTATTACTGCAATTATTGATATGTTTTCCTAAGTATTTTAAGTAGGAAATAAAAGTCCCAGACCAAATCAAGTTAGATCTCTTCCATTTCTTTGCACTCATAGAAGATCCCTCTGTGCTCCACAGTAGCTTCTCAGAGACTTCACGTCAACAGGACTCAGCCAAGTGGGGTCAGAAGAACAGGGCAAGCATGGCAGGGAAGGCAGGTGTGTGACCCTCTGGCCTCTGAGTGAAGGAAGGGGATGGACCAGCTCCTCAGCTCCTCGGAGTATGGTTCTGCAGGGGCGAGGGGTGATGTCCAGCACAAGCCTGGGAGATGACACTTTTGTCCACTCATTTAGCTCAGCCAGACAGGCGACCAGAGAGCTCCGCAGAGGTGTCCTCCAGACAGAAAGGTGCATGGGAAGAGCTTTCTTCAGATCAAAAGAGCAGCTTTTTCCAGACAAAGAAAGGTAAATAAGTTACTCCATTTCCACACTGCTTAGTAGATAGAGGCCTGATGGTACAGTGGTTAAGCATATACCTGGGAACCAAAAAGTCAATGGTAAGAATCCATCAGCAGCTCCAAGGGAAAGAGATACGGCATTCTGCCTCCACAGAGATTCACAGACATGGAAACCCCTTCAGAGTTCCGTTCTGTCCAGCAGGGTTGAGAGGAGTTGAACATGACTTGACAATAGTGCGTTGGGTTAGGAGTTCACAGATAAAGGCAAGGAAGCCCTCAGGTATCACACTAATCCTGAAGGCATTTCCCATGTGGGTCCTACCCATGCACCCTCTCATGCTGCAGCTCCAGGAAACAAGAGCCCCCTGGTCCCTAGTTCTGCCTCTGCAAAGATTGTCCCTGAGCAGAGAACCAAGAGGAAGTGGTGGCAGAAGAGGAAGAGACTGACCGATATCAAGGCAGGTAGGTATCACCTGACAGGGCCTTGATGGCCCTGTCCCTGCATAAAGGGTCAGTTATTGCTTAATAGCCACCTGTCCATCTTGTCCTTCCAGGGCAGGGGCTAAGTCTTCAGGATAAGACCCCGGGGAGGTGTCCAGGACTCCCCAGGTGGGGCTTTCTAGCCCATCAGCTGGGGGCAGGGGCAAGCAGCTCTCTGATGTCGTTTGCCTTCTGTGGAAGCTACCTCCCAGCTGAAGTTCTGCAACAAGAAGGGACAGAAGAGGAATATGTGGACTGTCAACTATGTTGAGGGAACAAAACTCAGGATGAACAAGAGGAGATGGCCCAGTTACCGCCCAGAAGATCAAGAAGCATTCTACCGACTTTTAGGTGTGTATCCAACAGGTTGAGTGCCTAGGGATCTTTTAGTCGAGAACAGTGTGGAGGCAGGGGCTCAGAGAGTAGACTGAAATCTTCCCTCCAGGCTCTAAGTTGTAAGTTGTCCAGGCGGCACAGAAGTAGGGTGACAGTGTGTCCACTAGAGTGCTGAAGGGATTTTCCTCTCAGACATGGAGAGAAGGGAAAGAGGGCCCAAGTTAAATCTTCCATTATCAAGACATTGCAGGACAAGACAAGTGCCAGAACCTCTGCCCCAGTCATTTGTCCCCACTAATCAAATTTTAGAGAACAGCAATGAGAGGATAAAAGAATGAAAGGGTCTTACTCTCTTTACACTAGAAAAAGTGAGAGAACCAAAACTGCATGAGTAACATCTACAGAAACACAGTGCTCTCAGCCAGTGACAAACAAAGGAGGAAAATTATAAACGCCAGTAACTCAAGTAGGCAGCGAGCAAGGAAGGGTGCTTTCTAAGATGGAATTCTCAGGAAGTCCTGTCAAGGTGGTATCTGAGCCAAGCCCTGGATAATGAGTAGGAGGTGGCACACCTGGGGACCTGGGGCTGGGGTATACAGGTCCCCACTCCCTAAAGGGTGTGGGACAGAGGGTGCAGGACAAAGGCCTGAGACAGGACAAAGCTTGACAGATGTGGGTACTATATGGGGGTTATACTGTCCAATCCAGTAAACAATCAACACAGGTTGTTGTTGTTTTTGTTGTTGTTGTTAAGTGCCGTGGAGTCGCTTGCGACTCATAGCAACCCTATGTACAACAGCCCTAAACTCTGCTCTGTCCTGTGCCAATCGCACTGTCTCTGAAACTCCCATCCCAATTATCCCAGTCACTGAATCAATCCACCTCATAGAGGGCCTTCCTCTCCTGCGCCGTCCCTCCACCCTCCCAAGCATGATGTCCCTCTTCAAGGACCTCCTTACAACATGTCCAAAGTATGTCAGACGAAGCTTCAGAATCCTTGACTCCAAGGAGCCACTCAGTTTACCCTTTCCAGGATGAATCTCTTTGTTTTCCTAGCAGACCATGGTACCCTCAACACTCTTCTCCCCCACATTTAATTTGAAATTAATTTAATGCAATTTAACAATTTCGTTGCTCATTTCATTAGTCAGTAGCTGCACAGGGCTAATGGTCGCCTCCCTCAACAGCATGGATAGAGTATTTCCATCGTAGCTGAAAACTCCTTAGAGCAGCTGTCTTCCAAGGGTCAGGTTGACTAGACAAAGTCAAGGAGAGAAAATCATCTGGATCCTTCCCCACCCCCTGCAGCACCCTTGCTAAGCAGAGAACTGAGGGCACATGGGCTCTGGCATTTCTCAGGCTTCCATTAGACAATAGGCCACCCTAGGGACAAATCTAATCACAAATGGCATCCCAGTAGAGGTGATCAGTCATAATCCGCAGGGACTGAGACCCGGTGATGGTGATGACGCTGTGCTCCCTGCACCCACAGTGCTCGGCAAACAGATGGAGCAGGAAAATTCTGGGCAGTCTCAAGATGATGAAAGTTGTGACAACCTGGTTCAATTCTGAGCCCTGCATTCTGTCTCTGCAGGTACCAAGCATGACTTCCCAGTGTGACTATGTGGAAGAGCAAGCAGTAGCAGAAATCCAGCTTCCCAGTTGGAATTAAGTGGGAGCTACAGGGAATAACCTTTTCAAAGCAACAGGACTTTAGCTTCCACTTTCACCAGATGGAGAACTCTTTAAGGCTCTGTCTTTCCTCCTTCCTGCGGACACAGTTCCCTGAGTCCCATGTGCAGCCCTTCCCTAAAGCATGCCCACAGCCCTCAGCTCACCTCTCTGTCTTTGTAGAGGATCCTGTCATCCAGAGCTTCCTGGAAGCTGACATCTTCCTCAAAGTGTCTGACAAGGTACCTGTAGCACCAAGGCGGTGAGAGACCAGCATGGGGACAGTAGAGGGAGTCTGACCTCTTTCTGGGCTGAAGCTCTGAGAGCCCTGCTCTCACAGAAATGAAACCAGTGACACTGCCCAGTCCTGCCTGCCCCCTCTGGCTGTGCCCATAAGCCCACTGCCTTCTCTGAGAGAATTGGGACACCCTCAGTCAATCTCACCCTGAGTGACTGTGCTGCCACAGCCTGTGGCTGGGGAAGGACTGTCCATTGAGAATTCTCCTTCTGATAAACCTTCAGAATCTCATCCCTGACCACTGACCCCCAGCTCTGTCCCTCAGTACCTGCTCTCCATGGTGGTGGAGTACTTTGGCCGTGTGGGTTTACCTGGACACCTCTACAACAGGATCCACTTCTTCCTGGCGCTGTGAGTGCTGAATCGCTGAATGCGATCCACCACCCCTATCAGGAGGCTGGGCCATGCCTGAGAGATGGAGACTCCACAAAAGGGGTCATTCCCCTCGGCCACTGGCCTCTGAAGCTCTGGCTCCTTGGGGTAGAAGAGACCTTCTGGGTAATGAAGGAGAGGAAGGCTGAAAGTGAAGTTTAGACTCACTCCTTCATTCATTCATTCACTGGCATCAAGGTGGAACGGACTCATAGCTGACACTCCAGTAGGTATTCTGAGGTTGTAAATGGCACAGGAGGGCATTGTCCATCTCACTCTTGAGGAGCATCTGGCAGCTTTGAATCACCTGCCTTTTGTTGGCAGTAAAACGCATTACCCACTAGGCCACACCACTCCCTACCAGACAAAGCATCCTGAGGGGACAGGCCTCTGGATTTGAGAGTTCAGAAGGCTGGCCTGGATGGGACTCAGCACAGGTTCCCACAGGCTTCTGTCGAGGATGGTCTTGCTGCCTGGGGTTCAGGTTACTGGGAGAGAAGTCCTTCTTTCCCTCCTCCCCAAGATCTTCAGGTCATGAGCTGCTTCCAAGTGACCTTGGAGCTCAGAGCTCGTCTCCCTCCTGTCTAGCCCCGGGCTGAGATGGAGGGTGAAGCCATGGCAAGCCCTTCTTCCTTTCTGTGGCAGCTACATCGCTTCAGACATGGAGGAGGACAACCCCACATCCAAGCGGAGCATCTTTCAGTTTCTGCTGGGCAAAGAGCACTGGGCAGACCTCTATAAAGACTTCCTAAGGCTCAAAGTGGAATTCTTTCACGCCATGGGCCACCGAGCCTGGGTTACTCCAGAGCTGTGCGAAGAGGTGTGTTGAGGCCAACAGCAATGTGGTCAAGAAAGGAGGACACAGGCTGTGGGATCAATGGAGACATGCCATTCTTTTCAGTTGCCCATTCCCCTGTGTTTCCCTTTCAGATTCAGGCCCAGAATCCACATCATTGGGTCTGGAGCAGAGCACGTCAGGGTGCTGCATAGCTGCCCTGTAAAGGTGCAGGTGTGGCCTCTCTGCAGGTGGGCATGGGCAGGGCCTGGCTCCTACAGGTGGGTGGGTGTGGGCAGGCCTGGATCTCTGCAGGTGGAGGTGGGCTGAACCTGGCTCTCTGCAGGTGGGCGTGGGCGGGACCAGGCTTTCTGTAGGGTCAGCCCCTCAGAGGTAACACAGAATGTCTATGGCAGGTATCCTCAATCCTCACAGGAAATTCTCTGATGCACAATAGCATAGTAAATGCATGTGAATTCCCATAATAAAGAGAGCAATTATCTGTTTAACTCAACATTTCCCAAGTGAATTCAAGTATGTGGCAGTGCCCTAGGCAACACATGGTCTCAATTTGCATATTCATTTGTTTTTTTTCAGGAAATTTTTTGGAAAAACTCTATATGATAAGCTCTGTAGGATTTGGATTGGAGTTGAACACTTTAAACAAGAGAGCATGAATAATGTCATGGTTTCCAGAAAAAGAACTTTCATTATGGCCTCTCTTGGGAGGAAAGAGAAAGACATGTTCCAACATTTTCTGGTGTGCCTGGTGTGTTCTGTTCCCACATGCATCGAGTGCAGGGTGCTAGGGCCTTGAGGGGGGCCGGTCTCCCTGTGGGCATTAGGGTTCACTGGACTTCGATAAGGTCATGAGAAGTGAACAGAGCAGGCACAGGTGGAAAACCAAGGAGAAACCCATTATCAGTGCACTTGCAGAAAACCAGCACGTTCTAGAATGTGCTGTATGGGGTTTCAATTTCATTTTTGTGTTGGGGTTTTCTCGAGAGTGCACAGGGAAGAGCCCTTTGTCAGCAGAACAGAGTCCTGCCCTCATCCTATAAATTGGGCCACGTCAGCACAGTGCATGTGCTCCATTACGTGCCTGGACAAGCAGAGGGAGAGAGGGTAAGGGTGACCCGAGACAAACCAAGTCTAGTACAGTTTCTTTTTAAATTGAGAATCCAGAATCATGCCCATTCTACAAGAAGATCTGGTGGTGTGGTGGTTAACCAGCTGATAAGCAAAAAGAATGCAATTGAAGCTCATCAGCTGTTCCTCTGGAAGACGCAGCAGGCTGCTTCAGCGAAAGTTACAGCCTCAGGAACCCTGTGAGGTGATTCTGCTCCACTCTCCAGGGTCACTCAAATCAGGATAGACTCAGAAACAGCAGGTATTTGGAGTTTTACTACCATTTTCCTTTCATGGGCTTCACTTCTAAGAACAAAGAGGGTGAGTCGATTTCCTCTGAGCTCTTTCCAAGTATGCACCATTGGCTCCATGAAAACTTTCTGGCTCAGGTGTGTGTCTCCCACTAGTTGATATGGAAAAATTTCAGCAAGTACCATATGAACAAGAGCCAATGGTGATGAAAAATGAAGTTCGGGCAGCGCTGAAGGCATTGGCAAATAATAAGGCTCAGAAATTAACAGATGCAGCCCACCAATGGTGAGCAGATGTGCTCACCATTTTATGCCAGGATATTTGGAGGACATCTACCTGGCTGGCTGACTGGAAGAGATCCATATTTGTCCCCATTACCAGGGTGATCCAAAAGAATGTGGAAATTATCAAACAATATCATTAATGTATTATGCAAGCAAAATATTGTTGAAGATCACTAGAAAATGGCTAGAATAGTACAATGACAGAAGCTGGTTTAGAAGATGCTGTGGCACCAATGGTTATCATTGCTGATGTCAGATGGAACCTGACTGAAAGCAGAGAGTACCAGAAGAATGCATATTTGTGTTTTATTGACTATGCAAAGGCATTTGACTGTGTGGATCATTAACAAATTATGGATAACACTGAGAAGGATGGGAACGCCAAAACATTTAATTGTGCTCATATGTTTTCTATACCTAGACCAATAGAGCAAGGGGGGCAGGCCTTCTGCCGCCATTGCAGACATGGTGGCCCTTCTGGGTGGCATGTTCTCCAGGCAGACTGGGAGGGTGCGGGGGAGGGCCAAACCCTGCAGGGACTCTAGGGCCAGGCTTTGTTTCTTCAAGTGGCACTAGGGGCTCCGAGGTCTTGAGCAATACTTTGGTAGAAGAACTGGAGTCCTCTTTCGAGGTTGCAGCCCAATGCCACTAAGCCACTAAGAGCTCCTTTGGGATGGAAGCAGAGTGCAAGTCGAAGTGGTGCAAGTGGATAGTAGACACAGGAGAGGAAGGAGCTTTGATGGTTCCCATCAGTCCTTAAAGTAGAAGGCCTGCTTTGCGTTTTTGGTGAGTCAGGACTATGTCAGCGGCACCAATCAGGAAGAAATTCACACTGGTGTTGATCAATGTATCCAGAAATTTCTGGATATCTCAAGACAGACAGAATTTTTTTTCCTACAAAAAAGATTACCATTATCTGTCCAGAAACCAGAGCAAGTTATCAGACATCTCAGAGATGAGGAACAAGCTGCGGTGGAAAGATGCCCTGGTCCAGAAGCACTAGCAGCAGCTGCTGGACAACATCAGTGTGCAGCACTGATGCAGTCGCTGAGCTTCCGCAGGGCTCCCTGGCCTCATGCCGCCCACCCCCCCACGCGTGCCATCCTGCTGCCGAACCCACCTTCGAATCACTGTGCAAACTCCCATTCCCAGCGGCTTGGCCTCCTGGGAGAACCCAGCGCCAGGGCATGAGACAACTCGTGTTTCATGCTTCCGCACCCGAACTTTTTAACTGAGTTTTGTTGTTTGGTGCTGTCGAGTCAGCCTGACTCAGCAGCACAGCACCCCCCCCCCCCCCCCCCCGGGGCAACAAAGCCAAGCCCTGCCCAATACTGTGCCACCGTAGTTTATAAGCTATTTGTTTCTCAAATACTTTGTAAAATGCCTGTGGTCCTGGGAAACTGGTAGATTATTCTTTAAGTTAAAAAAAAACCCCAAAACACACAACCACCAAAAAAACAAAACAAAAAACAGCAAGGGAGGGAACACTGCATTGTTCAGAATCTGGAAGGGTGTGCATCAGGGTTGTATCCTTTCTCTATGCCTATTCAATTTGTATACTGAACAAATAATTCAAGAAGCTGGACTCTTGAAGAGGAGTGAGTGTGGCATCAGGATTGGAGGAACACTCATGAACAACCTTCATTATTCTGATGCCACAACTTTGCTTGCTGAAAATAAGGAGGTATATGAAACATCTGCTACAGAAGATCAAGGGACTGCATCTCAACATCAAGAAGACAAAGGTCTCTCTGCAGGCTCAACAGTAAACACTATGATAAATGGAGGAATGACTGAAGTTGTCAATGATTCATCAGGGATGCATACTGTATACCTTTTCGATCTATATACAGAACAGCTCATTTGGGCGGCTGCGCTTTATGAGGAGTGTGGCATCAGGATTGGAGGAAGACTCATCAACATGTTATACAGATGAAACAACTTCAGTTGCTGAAATAGAGGTGGACATAAAGTGCTTACTGTAGAAGGACTGTAGTTTTCAATATGGATTGAAGCTCAACATTAAGAAAATAAAAATTCTTACCACTGGGCCAATCAGCAGCACCATGATGGATAGAAAAGAGACTGAGGTTAACAGTTACAGCTTGCTCGGCTCCACAATCAACACTCTTCGCACCAGCAGTCAGGAAATGAAAAGACGAACTACATTAGGTAAATCTGCTGTCAGAGATCTTTCCAGAGTACTGAGAAGCAACAATATCAGTCTAGAGACTAAGGTGGGCCTGCTCCAGGCCATGGTATTCACAATTACTTGCTATGCATTAGAGAGCTGCATGACTAAGGATGATAAAAGAATTGACGCCGAGTTGTAGTACTGGAGGAGTCTTGAACATACCATGGATCACCAAGAAAACAAATAGGTCTGTCTTGGAGAAAGTGAAGCCAAGTTTTTCTTTGGAGGCTAGAATTTTGAAGCTGCCTTACACACTTCAGTCATGTGGCCAGGAAGAACTGGTCTTTGGAGAAGGACATCATGCTTAGAAGGGTGGAGGGACAGTGCAGGAGAGGAACACCCCGGATGAGATAGATACAGTGACTAGGTGAGTGGGGTTAGGTGTGACGGAGTGAGACTGACTTAGGACAGGGTAGGCTTCAAAGCTCTTGTACATAGGGTCACTATGAGGCACAGGCGGCTCAGCAGCACATAAAAACATCTTGCTTGGGTCAACAATCAACCTCCTTGGTACCAGTAGTCAGGAAATCAGGAGATGCATTGCAATAGGCAAGTCTGCTGTCAGGGACATCTCCAAAATACTGAAGAGCAATGATAGCAGTTTTAAGACTAAGGTGTGCGTCATTCAGGCCACAGTCTTCTCAATCACCTGCTATGCATCAGGAAGCTGAAAAATGAATATGGATGACAAACGAATTGATGCCTTTGAGCTGTGGTGCTGGAGAAGAGTACTGAATATTCCATGGACTGCCAAAAGAACAAACAGGTATGTCTTGAAAAGGTGTGGCCAGACTGCTCCTTGGAGGCAAGAATAATGAAGCTTCATCTCATATACTTTGGATATGTGGCTAGGCAGGACTTTTCCTTGGAAAGGGACATCATCCTCAGAAGAACGGAGAGTCAGCAAAGCAGAGGAAGACCCCCCAATAAGATGGATTAACATTGCAACTTCAGCCATGGGCTCTAGTGTGCTATAGATGATGAGCATGGCACAGGGCAGGGCAGGTTTTGGTTTGGCTGATCAGAGGATCACTATGAATCATACTCCAATCAGCACCTCACAATGACAACTGCTGTGCTCTCACTCCTCTTTCCTTGTGGTCCCCACCTGCCTCTGCATCCTTCTCCCCCAACAAGGAGTGCCTATAGCCTTTTCAGGGCCAGACTCAAGGCTCAAGGACTCAAAGACTCAGTGGGCTATAGCAGCCCAAGTTTGGAGTGCCACATACCAAATGGAACAATACTTCAGATCTTCAACCAGGTATCAGCCAAAAATGGGCCCTGACCCCTGATAGCCTAGAACAGTAACCTAGGAAGGGGGCTCAAGGGAAGCCAGAGGTGTCTAAAACTGACACCT